AAAAATGATAGGATGACATGTGAACACTATGTAATCCCTTATGTAAACTTTGATGTAAGGTCCTTTCATGTTTTGAGCTCCCTTGCATTAAATAGTTATGATATGGGACAGTGGATGTTAAAGAGTGCATGCATGTATTAATATAACTTTAATATGCTTATATAGGTATATAGGTAGTACTGAATCTTGAACTTCTAATTTGAATCTGTTCTAATTTTATGTTAAATTATTTTATTAAAAAAGATTGTGGCAAGACTTGTCCTTAAAGTCTCTGTATATTCAACTATATATTTCATAAGATCCCATACTATTCAATCACATAATTCATCATTTTTTATCAAAATCTGCTAAAAATCTTATGTTAATCCACACCAAAAAAGGTGGCGAGACTTGTCCTTAAAGTCTTTGTATATTCTCATTTCATTCAATTTTAATCATATATTTCATGTGACACAACTTTTGTACCACATATTTAATCAATTTTTATTAAAATTTGCTGAAACTTTTATCAAAAACTTTTACAAACAGCCCATTTGTTAATATATGCATATATGAGTGTGTACATACGATTAGTAGTGTGGGTGGTTAGGGAGAGAGGGAGGTGCAGCTTAGTCCTTGTTTGGTATGGATTAAAATAATATTTTTAGCAGATTTTGATCAAAGACAATTAATGAACTATGTGATTGAATAGTAAGGGATCTTATGAAATATAAAGTTGAATTAATTGTTGATTTAGACTTTAATAAAATCCAGATTTTAATTCGCTTTAATCAATACAAATAGAAAATATTCCAAATTTGGCATATCACAAGTTCAGAACTGAATATACACTGACACATCCTAGATGACATCTTCAATCACTCATTATATTTATATATTTGACTTAGTAAAGGCAAGTCTATGGAATATTAATTCATAGGAGATACAATGGAGCTTCAATTAATTAATAAAACTTCCCAAGTCCCTAGACAGTAACAAAGCAGAAAGTAGCTAGCATCTAAGCTCCAAGTTCACATTAATAAACTCCTAACTATGGCTGCTTGAGCACTGTCACTGTCTATTGATTCCAAAAGCTGTGATAATCTATCACTTAGGTCATCCACCTCTCTGTGTAAATTCTTTATGTAGTTACAAGTCTCTTGCAACACCTTCGAGGCTGAAACCTGTCATTGTTAAACAAAACTAGTTAGATAATTAGGATCGAGAGAAATTTTATGTGCTCTCACACTCAGGTT